ATTTTGTTCCTCCTCCTCCTCCTCCTCCTCCTCCTCCTTAGAGATTTAGAGTTTAGAGTTACATTACGTAACTCAATTTCATTTTCAGAGTTCTGTAATTAAATAAGTATACCTAATATATGATTCTATATAAGTCTTGTTCATTTGTAATGATGACCAGAAGGAAAGGAATAAATACATCGTTTCTAACTTGGTGACTGCTGAAGACTTGAAAAAACTCACTCATGTTTGTGTACTTCTTGTTCCTCCTCCTCCTCCTCCTCCTCCTCCTCCCATGAAGTAATTTGTTCCCTGACAGCATATCCTCCTCCTCCTCCTCCTCCTCCTCCTCCTAATGCTGATGCAATTTAGGTCTTTGAGAAGATAACAAACCTAATTACTAATGCAAGGAGAGAGAACATCTTTCTCAGTAATTCATTCTCCTCCTCCTCCTCCTCCTCCTCCTCCTCCGCTAATATACAGCTTCAAGGATTAATATATCCTCCTCCTCCTCCTCCTCCTCCTCCTCCTTGTGAAGGTAGTAGGGTAATTTGTGAGATCCTCCTCCTCCTCCTCCTCCTCCTCCTCCCAGCGAGAGCCACCTCAAAGTGTTTATGTTCCTCCTCCTCCTCCTCCTCCTCCTCCTCCAATCAGTTTCGTTCTATACAGGAAAATTATCCTCCTCCTCCTCCTCCTCCTCCTCCTCCCCTTCTTACACAGGATTTATTTCAATTTATCCTCCTCCTCCTCCTCCTCCTCCTCCTCCCAGGAATGTTTAAGGTGTTTGGGACACATCAAAGAACAAAAGAGACCAAAATCTTTGCATTTTTGATCTTCTAATTCAGGGAGACACATCCTCCTCCTCCTCCTCCTCCTCCTCCTCCTGTTAGAAGGTGTATGGACAAAAAAAAAATCCTCCTCCTCCTCCTCCTCCTCCTCCTCCCCTAATTAGGCAATTGGGCGGGGTAAACCTCGCTGAGAAAGTAAGATATAAGCAAATGCTACAAGGAGCTGAGTGAGTGAGCCTGTGGGAATCTGGGGTAGGAGTCTGCATGGTGGGGGCTCATGGAAGCTCTGCCAAACAGAAGGGTCCTCCTCCTCCTCCTCCTCCTCCTCCTCCGTGACCTCAGATATTCACTGCACCTGAGATCCTCCTCCTCCTCCTCCTCCTCCTCCTCCATCTGGGTGTTCCTTCTTGCCTTCCGCCTTCCTCCTCCTCCTCCTCCTCCTCCTCCTCCGCTATTGCCTGGCGTTGGAGACTATTATATCCTCCTCCTCCTCCTCCTCCTCCTCCTCCGATGACAACAAGAGACAGCACCCATGCCTTCCTCCTCCTCCTCCTCCTCCTCCTCCTCCGCGCAATTACAACTTACAAATGTCGCTTGTCCTCCTCCTCCTCCTCCTCCTCCTCCTCCTATTTTCCAGTCTGTGTTTCCAAAAAACATCCTCCTCCTCCTCCTCCTCCTCCTCCTCCTGTTATATGTTAATTCAACTGTGAAGTGATCCTCCTCCTCCTCCTCCTCCTCCTCCTCCGCATAAGTGGATTGGATCAGTATTTGTTGTCCTCCTCCTCCTCCTCCTCCTCCTCCTCCTCCTTTTGTTCTACATCAGTATTTCGCAATCCTCCTCCTCCTCCTCCTCCTCCTCCTCCTGGATGATGAGGATTTTGTGATCTGTTGCTCCTCCTCCTCCTCCTCCTCCTCCTCCTCCGGCTGAAGCTGTGACAGAAGAACATAAATTCCTCCTCCTCCTCCTCCTCCTCCTCCTCCCCCAAATTAATACTTTTATAATTTCTTACTCCTCCTCCTCCTCCTCCTCCTCCTCCTCCATTGTGAAGATTTCATGGACACTTATCACTTCTCCAGTCAATACCCTTGTGATTTCGTAAGCCTGTTTTTACTTTAATCTCTTAATCCTCCTCCTCCTCCTCCTCCTCCTCCTCCTCCAATGTCGCCTCAGAACCCTGTGATGATTGTCCTCCTCCTCCTCCTCCTCCTCCTCCTCCGTGTGTTTGAACAATATGAAATCTGGGCATCCTCCTCCTCCTCCTCCTCCTCCTCCTCCCACCAGAGATAAGACTTCTGGCCACCAGTTCCTCCTCCTCCTCCTCCTCCTCCTCCTCCTCTTTCAAAAGCAAATAGGAGAAATATCGTCCTCCTCCTCCTCCTCCTCCTCCTCCTCCCTGAGAAAGAGAATGCACCCTGAGGGTAGTCCTCCTCCTCCTCCTCCTCCTCCTCCTCCTCTTTTGTGGTCGAAGCCGAAGGGACGAATCCTCCTCCTCCTCCTCCTCCTCCTCCTCCGTTTATTAGGATGAGGAAAATTCCCACGTTCCTCCTCCTCCTCCTCCTCCTCCTCCTCCCTCAAACCCTGTTTCCTGATAAGATGTTATCCTCCTCCTCCTCCTCCTCCTCCTCCTCCAGCAGTTTTAATTTTGCCCCATCCGGTGGTCCTCCTCCTCCTCCTCCTCCTCCTCCTCCTTGTGATATTTTATTACCTTGTGAAGTCTTCCTCCTCCTCCTCCTCCTCCTCCTCCTCCCACTCCCTCCCCTTTTGAAAATTGCTAATTCCTCCTCCTCCTCCTCCTCCTCCTCCTCCCATCATGGATCCTGCCGACATGTGATGTCTCCTCCTCCTCCTCCTCCTCCTCCTCCTCCTGTGCTCTTTCCCTTTATTTCTCAAACCAGCCAAGACACTTAGGAAATAGAACAGAACTCATGTAACTATCGGGAGTGGATTCTCCCGTCCTCCTCCTCCTCCTCCTCCTCCTCCTCCAATGTGGACTGTGGACCAGGGACTGGGCCTCCTCCTCCTCCTCCTCCTCCTCCTCCTCCATAAGATATTAAGAGTAAGTATTTATGAATCCTCCTCCTCCTCCTCCTCCTCCTCCTCCCATATATTGAATCTAATAATTTAAGAAATGTGAGGTCATAGCCTATATGTCTTCATTTTGAGAATTCAATTTTCTCTAACAGTTTTATTGCATGATATCAGAAAACGAAACCACAATAGACCGAATATTAAAAAATAAATTAGTTCTTCACCATAAGTAATTTGGGAAGCACTGATTTAATATATTTAAAACATGCTAAATTCAAAGAGTTAAATAATTTCAAAATTTTTGCTGATGGACTTTTCAGAACTTTGGGGTGAAATCTGTTTATGGTATTTACTAAACTTATTTGACCATAGCTGCCTCTTTTCAGAGCATACCTTTGAGGACTATTTATCTGAGCAACATATCTTTGGTTTTGTTTTAGTTTTTTAAGGAGCCAAAGTCAGCTGGGCACAGTGGCTCATGCCTGTAATCCCAGCCCTTTGGGAGGCCAAGACCATCCTCCTCCTCCTCCTCCTCCTCCTCCTCCCATCCTGGGCTACATAGTGAGACCCCCTGTCCTCCTCCTCCTCCTCCTCCTCCTCCTCCTAACGGCACACACCTGTAGTCTCAGCTACTCCTCCTCCTCCTCCTCCTCCTCCTCCTCCCGTGGGAGATTGAGGCTCCAGTGAGCTGTTCCTCCTCCTCCTCCTCCTCCTCCTCCTCCCAGAGCAGGACCCTGTCTCAAAAATACTATCCTCCTCCTCCTCCTCCTCCTCCTCCTCCGTCTTACTATGTTGCCCAGGCTGGTGAGCAATGGCAATTCACAGGCTTGACGATGGCACACTGCAGCCTCCAACTCCTGAGTTCAAGTGATTCTCTGGCCTCAGTCTGGGTATCTAGGACTAAAGGAGCTTGCCACTGCATCCAGCCTGAGCGCATGTTTTGAGAAAAGCTACTGTATTTTATATCACCCTGTAAAGGCAAATTTGCTTTTTAGTGATTGTTGCCTATTTACCTCTTGATTTTGCCACTTAACTTTGCAGATGGAATAATGGGACTGCAGTGGAATAAAGGAAGAAATATAATTTCAAATTTTGATGTAGAAAAGTAAAGAGAATATTTTTGCAAAGCCGGTAACTTTACTCTTGTCCTCTTTCCATCCCTGATGCCCTGTAGAACTGGATTTGTTCAGATAGATGACTTATCCTAATAAGTTTTTATATTATGTACAAAACTATACTTTAGTCCTTTTTGCTTGTTTCAGTTTTGTTAAGAGTCATAAGGAATTATTTACACTGGAATTATTTTAACAGGGACCCAGAACACAAAACTTAAACTTCATTTCAAATTCTAGAATTTGGGCTCAAGTGTGTAGTCATGAGCTCTGCCTAACAGTGTTTGGTCCTCCTCCTCCTCCTCCTCCTCCTCCTCCCCATGAGATTACAATGGAGCTGACAAATTCCTATCACGACATCATGGCAGTCCTAACATCCTAGTGCAATGCATTACTTTTTCTATATTCCTCCTCCTCCTCCTCCTCCTCCTCCTCCCAGTTGTCTACAGTATTTGGTAAAGTAACTCCTCCTCCTCCTCCTCCTCCTCCTCCTCCGCTCTATCGTATAACTTAGGTGTGTAGTATCCTCCTCCTCCTCCTCCTCCTCCTCCTCCCTCTATAATATTCACATAATGATGAAATCTCCTCCTCCTCCTCCTCCTCCTCCTCCTCCCCATTGTGAAGTGATGTATAACTCTATATTCCTCCTCCTCCTCCTCCTCCTCCTCCTCCACATATTAGGCATAGATTGAGCTTAGGTTTCCTCCTCCTCCTCCTCCTCCTCCTCCTCCATACACATCAAGTAAACTGAAAGCCTAAATCCTCCTCCTCCTCCTCCTCCTCCTCCTCCAAGAATACATAACAAGCCGTGTGTCCTGATCCTCCTCCTCCTCCTCCTCCTCCTCCTCCTTGCACTCTTGACATGAGGCTTGTATATTTCCTCCTCCTCCTCCTCCTCCTCCTCCTCCTCTTCATCTTTTACAACAGAATGTTTTATTCCTCCTCCTCCTCCTCCTCCTCCTCCTCCTTGCAGTGCGTTCCCTATCATTTTAGCAATCCTCCTCCTCCTCCTCCTCCTCCTCCTCCACATTCTGGACTGTAGAAATCTCTGTATTTCCTCCTCCTCCTCCTCCTCCTCCTCCTCCACATGTAATCCAGTGTCATGCCTACCAGCTGCTAGTGGCTGGTTTGGTTAATCTTCAGACTGCACGTACTGTGGTTTTATTCTCTCTGTCCTCCTCCTCCTCCTCCTCCTCCTCCTCCATGCTTAACATTTCTTTGTTGATTTTCTTTCCTCCTCCTCCTCCTCCTCCTCCTCCTCCTGATTTTTATTTATTTATTTACAAATCGATCCTCCTCCTCCTCCTCCTCCTCCTCCTCCATTCGTACCATGCCCAATTCCAGGGATTTTCCTCCTCCTCCTCCTCCTCCTCCTCCTCCTCCTGTATATTTAGAGAAAGTACAGTACTGTCTTCCTATATTTCCTGTATTCACTTATTTAATTGGCAGTCCCCAGAGCAGGGTAGGTAAGAACACAGACTCTGGAGTTGGATTGTCTGGACTTAAGGCCTTGTTCCACCAAAGAAATGTTGCTGGAGTCACTCAATTCCCCTGAACCCTAGGTTTTCTTCTCCTTAGTAAAATGAGGATCAGAATGTATTTTCTTCATGGAGTTATTGTAGGGACTAACAGGATATTGATAAAGCCTTTAACAACATATGTCTGACAGAGGAAGCATAGTGTAGGTTTTTTTGTTTGTTTGTTTAATAAATATATCGTGGGAGGGTGAACAGCTTCATTTGTTTAAATCTTTAGAAGTTCCAAATAACAAATAAGCAAGAAATTATTCCAGAATATCCCTTATTTCAGGTTGAGGAGTGATTTAATGAAATATGAATTTTGGGTGCTGTTTCTGTGATTTTTTAACGTAAATTGTTGACAATGACAACTTACTTTAGACTTCCATCATCATCATCTGTGTATTGCACAGTACTGCAAAATTGGGACACTCTCAGAACAGCACAGCTTGGCGGATCATGCCTGCCAGATGCCCCTCAAATGTGATCAGTGTTACCAAAGGTTCAATTTCTTGTTTAGTTTTTATTATTTTCCAAATTTCAGATCTTAGTTTCTGAATAAACAGTTCACATTTTAGAAATAATTGATATAAGGATTTTTAATCAATGTATAATACACATTCATAGAATTTATTTCTTTGGAAGTTAGCAAAAATATAGTGACACTACAATGATATTTTTTCCCCAGCCAAGTATTTTTCCTGAAAATTATTTTTAGATGATGTAGTGTGCTTGTGTACGTATGTGGCAAAGGGTGGGACGAATAGTAGGGACCCAGGACACAGGGATGGGGAGGAAAGCAATATGGAAGGGAGACAAATAACTGATAAGGGGAGAGGTGGAATTTTTGTCCAAGACAGCAAGTTAGTTTCTCATACCTCTTTTCCTCTTCCTCCTCCCGCTCCCTCCCCTCCCTTCCTCACCCACCCCTTCCTCTTCCTCCTCCTCCTCCTCCTCCTCCTCCTCCTTCCTTCCTTCCCTCCCCTCCTCCTCCTCTCCTCCTCCTCCTCCTCCTCCTCCTCCTCCTCCTTCTCCTCCCTCCTTTTCTCCTCCCTTCCTCCTCCTCCTCCTCCTCCTCCTCCTCCCTCTTCCCTCTTCTCCTCTCTTCTCTTCCTCCTCCTCCTCCTCCTCCTCCTCCTCCTCCCCTCTTCTCCTTCTTGCTCTTCTCCTTCTTCCTCCTCCTCCTCCTCCTCCTCCTCCTCCTTTTCCTCCTCTTCTTCTCCTTATCTTTCTCCTCCTCCTCCTCCTCCTCCTCCTCCTCCATCTTTCTCCTTCTCTTTTTTCTGTCTCTTCCTCCTCCTCCTCCTCCTCCTCCTCCTCCTCCTCCTCTTTCTTCTTTTTGGTTTCTTGCTGGCAACAATCTTCCCTACTTACTTACTTATTTATTTGAAGGAGTCTCGCTCTGTTGCCTAGGCTGGAGTGCAGTTGTGTGATCTCAGCTCACTGCAACCTCTGTCTCCCAGGTTCAAGCAATTCTCCTGCCTCAGCCTCCCAAGTAGCTGGGATTACAGGCACCTGCCACCACCTCTGGTTGTTTTTTCATTTGTATTTTTTAGTAGAGATGGGATTTTGCCTTGTTGACCAGGCTGGTCTCAAACCCCTGGCCTCAGGTGATCCACCCGCTTCGGCCTCCCAGAGTGCTGGGATTACAGGTGTGAACCACTGCACCCAGTCAATCTTCCCAAGTTCTAAATGTTGTGAATCTTTATGTTCAGTCCTGGGCCATTTCTTCTCAGTGTGCAAACTCTCTGAAGGTGTTCTCACCGCTCCATGACTTAATTACCACACAGGTGCTGATACCTCCCCAAATGTCCATCTCTACCCCAGACATCTGCTCTGAGTGACAGAATTGTATGTCCTATCATTCCATTGACATTTTCCCCTGGATGCATCAGAAGCGCCCTAGATCTGTATAGCCTTATGTCCCCTGTATTTGCATTTAGGAGTCCATTGAGACTTTCAACATGTGTAGCTATTCATCCTGCTACACAGACAAGGAACCTGGGAATCACCTTTAACTCTTCCCTTTGTTTCATTCCTACTTCTAACCCAAAATCAGGTCCTCCCAAGTATACATCACTCTTCCCCCATCCTCCCTTTCCACAGCAGTCACTCTGGTCCAAGCCACCATCATCTGTCACCCAGACTACCATTGCCATCTCCTACCTGGTCCTCCCACTTGCCTTCTTTATTCTAAACACAGCAACCTGAGTTCATATACACACATGCTTTCATTCATATGTTGCTTGAAGCTGCTCAATGGCTTCCCATGGAACTTGAATGGAGTCTGATGTCTTCACAAGTGTATGCAGGACCCAGACAATTTGACATCTCCTGTTTGTCATCATGCCTTGCACCAATCTTTGACTTTGCCTTATTCCTTATGTTCCAGTCCTCATGGTCCCTTCCTGGTAATGAGTTAAACTTTTTCCTGCCTCACCTATTCTGTTCCCTTTGCCTGGAAAATTCTTCATTTCACTCTTAAAGGAGCTCCTCCCTACTCATCCCTCAGGTCTTCATCTAAATATCACTTCCCTGATAAGAATTTCCTCACCACTTCCTTCACTTCCTTTATAACACCTGATAGTGTGTAATATCACTTTCTGAGGTTATTTAATACTTGTCTTTCCTTCTAGACCAGCGGTGTCCAATTTTTTGGCTTCCCTGGGCCATATTGGAAGAAGAATTATGTTGGGCCACACACAAAATACGCTAACACTGATGATAGCTGATGAACTAAAACAAAAATCACAAAAACATCTCATAATGTTTTAAGAAAGTTTATGAATTTCTGTTGGGCCACATTCAAAGCCATCCTGGGCTGTGGACTGGAAAAGCTTGTTCTAGAGTGTAAGCTCCGTGAAGTCAGGAGCTATAATTAAAGACAAACAAACAAACAAACAAGCAAACTTTATTTTTTAGAGCAGGTTTAGGATCTCAGCAAAGTTAAAGGGAAGATACAGAGACTTTTCATATGCCCCCTGTTTCCACAGGCAGCTGCCCTCAACAGAATGGTACATTTATAACAATTGATGAACCTACATTGACACATTATCATCACCCAAAGTCCATAGCATGATTTTTTTTTTTTAATTCACAATCATGTGCCTCGTCCTAAAAAGGTATCCAGCACATAACATTCTCAGATGCCAACTTGCTTAGATATTGCAAAGGTACCTCAAACTTTGTGACATTTTTATACCTTCAAATCTCAGGCTTCTTTCAGTTTCCTTCCCTTGTTGTGTTAAGTGTCCCCCAGAACACAACTCAGATATCTGGGAGTCATCCTGGACATATCCCTTCCCTTCACCCATGGCTTTCTATTGATCTTTTAATCCATCGACTTCTTTATTTTCTTCCATTACTAATGTTACTATCACCACATCATCAGCTCCAACATGATTGCCACCCTATACTAACCTAGTCTAAGCTACCATTATTTCTCATGTGAAATTATAATATCCTCCCAACAGATCCAATTGAAATACACCCTAGATGCTCTCTTTTCTATCCTTTTTTTTTTTTTTTTGCCTTTTTAAAAATTGTACAAATTTACAGGCTACATGTGCAATTTTGTTACATGCATAAAGTAACAAAAGTCAGGACTTTGAGGGTATCCATCACCCAGTTAATGTATATTGCACCCATTAAGTAATTTCTCATCATCTACTCCCTTCCAATCCCCTCACTCTTCCAAGTCTTCATTCACTGTCATTCCACTCTCTATGTTCATGTGTACAGATTTTTTTTAATACCCACTTATGAATGAGAACGTGGGTATTTGCCTTTCTGGGTCTAGCTTATTTCAGTTAAAATAATGACCCCAATTCTAATCATCTTGCTACAAAATACATGATTTCATTCTTCTTTACTGCTGAATAATAGTCCATTACGTATTTATGCCACATTTTCTTTATCCATTCATCCATTGATGTACACTTAAGTTCCTTCCATTTCTTTACTGATGTGAATAGTGCGGCAATAAACATACAAGTGCAGGTGTCTTTTTGATATATCGATTTCTTTTCCTTTGGGTAGATATCCAATAGTAGGATAGCTGGATCAAATGGTAGTTTTATTTTTAGTTCCTTGATAAGTTTCTATACTGTTTTTTCATAGAGGCTGTACTAATTTACATTCCCACCAACAGTGCATAAGAGTTCCCTTTTCTCTGCATCCTCACCAATGTCTGTTTTTTGTTTGTTGTTTGCATTTTTAATAATAGCCATTCTGACTGGTGTAGGACGATATCTCATCTTGGTTTTAGTTTGCGTTTCTCTGATGATTAGTGATGTTCAACATTTTCTCATATACCTGTTAGCCATTTATGTCTTCGTTTGAAAAATGTCTATTCATGTCCTTTGCCCACTTTTTAATGAGACTATTGGATGCTTTTCTTGTTGTTGAATTGTTTGTTTCTTGCATATTCTGGATGAATGAGTAGTTTGATGTCAGATGAATTGTTTGCAAATATTTTCTTGCATTCTGCAGGTTGTCTCTTCACTCTGTTGATTTTCTCTCACTGTGCAGAAGCTTATTAGTTTAAATAGGTCTTGTTTGTCTATTTTTGTTTTTGTTGCCTGGGTTTTTGAGGTCTTAGTCATAAATTATTTGCCTAGACCAATGTTCAGAAGAGTTTTCCCTAGATTTTCTTCTAGTATTTTTATAATTTTGAGTCTTTTGTTTAAGTCTTAACCCATCTTGAGTTAATTTTTGTATGTGGTGAGAGATCGAGGCCAGTTTTACTCTTCTGCATGTGGCCATCCAGTTTTCCTAGCAACATTTATTGAAGAGTGTATCCTTTCTCCAATGTATGCTCTTGTTGGCTTTGTGAACGCCAACAAATATGGCTGTAAATATGTAGCTTTATTTCTGGGTTCTCTATTCTGTTCCATTGATCTATTTGTCTGTTTTTACACCAATACCATGCTGTGTTGGTTGCTATAGCCTTATAATAAAATTTTAAGTCAGGTAATATGATGCCTCCTTTTTGTCCCCCTCAGAATTTCTTTGGCTATTTGGGCTCTTTTTTGTTCCATTTGAATTTTAGGATTTTTTTCCCTAATTCTGTGAAAAATGACATTGGTATTTTGATATGAGTTGCACTGAATTTATGGATTGCTTTGGGCAGTATCGTCATTTTAACACTAATTCTTCAGATTCTTGATCATGGGTTGTTTTTCTGTTTGTTTGCATCATCTATAATTTCTTTCGTCATTGTTTTGTAGTTTCTCTTGTACAGATCTTTCGCCTCCTTGGTTAAATATATTTTAATTAGGTATTTTAGGTATTTCAATTAAGTATTTTAATTTTTATGTGGATATTGTAAATGGGATTGCCTCCTTGATTTGTTTCTTCGTTAGATTGTTACTGGTCTATAGATATGCTGCCAATTTTTGTACATTGAGTTTACATACTGCAACTTTACTGAATTCATATATCAAATAAGAGTTTTTTGTGGCGTCCTTAGGTTTTTCTTGACATAAGATCAAATTGTCAGCAAACAAGGATAATTAGACTTCAGTTTTTCCAGTTTAGATGCCATTTATTTCTTTCCACTGCCTGACTGCTCTGGCTAGGTCTTCCAGTACTGTAATGAATAGTAGTGGTGAAAGAAAATATCCTTGTTTTGTTCCAGTTCTTAGAGGAAAAGTTTTTAACTTTCCCCATTCAGCATAATGTTACCTGTGGGACTGTCGTATATGGCCTTTGGTATTTTGCGGTATGTTCCTTCTATCCCTTGGTTATTGAGAGTTCTTATTATGAAATGATGCTGAATTTTATCAAATGCTTTTTCTGCGTCTGTTGAGATGCTCATATGGTATTTGTTGTTGGTTCTGTTTATGCGACATACCACATTTATTGATTTACAGATGTTGAACTATGCTTGTGTTCCTGATATAAAACCCACTTAATTCCTAAAAACACACAGCCTCCCTCCCAAGACTGAACCAGGAAGAAATTGAAAACCTGAACAGAGCAATAATGAGTAGCAAGATTGAATCAGTGGCCAGGTGCGGTGGCTCACACCTGTAATCCTGGCACTTTGGGAGGCTGAGGTGGGTGGATCACTTGAGGTCAGAAGTTCCAGACCAGCCTGGTCAACATGGTGAAACCCCGACTTTATTAAAAATACAAAAATTAGCCGGGTGTGGTGGTGCACACCAGTAATCCTAGCTACTTGGGAGGCTGAGGCAGGAGAGTTGCTTTAACCTGAGAGACAGAGGTTGTGATGAGCTGAGATTGTACTACTGCACTCTAGCCTAGGCAACAGAGTGAGACTCTGTCTCCAAAAAAGAAGGAAAAAAAAGATTGAATCAGTAATAAAAAGTGTCCCAGCAATTAAAAGCCCAGGATCAGATGGATTTACAGATGAATTGTACCTAACGTACATAGAACTAATACTAATCCTCCTGAAACCGTTTCAACAAAATCAAGGAGGAGGAAATTCTCCCTAACTGCTCTATGAAGCCAGTATCACCCAAAACCAGACAAGCATACAACAAAAAAGAAAACTATAGACCAATATCCCTGACTAACATAGACACAGCAATCCTCAACAAAAATACTAGCAAACAGAATGCAGTAACACCTCTATCTATTCTGTACTTTGTAGCCATTGTGTTCTTTTCAAACATTTAGGTGACCATGTCAATCTTTCTATTTAAAATCCCTTAATGGGGCTGGGCACGGTGGGTCAGGTGAGCCTGTAATCTCAGCACTTTGGGAGGCTGAGGCAGGTGGATCATCTGAGGTCAGGAGTTCAAGACCAGCCTAGCTAACATGGTGAAGCCCTGTCTCTACTAAAATTACAAAAATTAGCCATGCATTGTGGCAGGTGCCTGTAATCCCAGCTGCTTGGGAGGCTGAGGCAAGAGAATTGCTTGAACCCAGGAGGCAGAGGTTGCAGTGAGCCGAGATCATGGCACTGTACTCCAGCCTGGGTGACAGAGTGAGACTCCATCTAAAAAATAAAAATAAAAAAAATAAAAAAATAAAAAAAAATCCCTTAATGGCTTTTAAGTTAAATATGGTGCTTTAATTTGCCAAAGTATCCCAAAATGTGTGGCCTCCCCTCTCACCAGCCTCATTATTAGTGAGGCTGCCCTGTTTCTCTTGCTTGCAGTCACACTGACCTTTTTGTTGCTTGCCTGTCCGCGCATTCCCTTCCACCACAAGATCTTCCACACGTCCTCTTGTTGGAATGCTCTTTTCTATGCCTGGCTCTCATCCTTTGAATCAGGGTGTCCAATCTTCTGGCTTCCCTGGGCCATAGCAGAAGAAGAATTGTCTTGGGCCACACATAAAATACACTGTAATACTAACAATAGCTGATGAGCTAAATTTTAAAAATCACACAAAAAAGTCTCATAATATTTTAAGAAAGTTTATGAATTTGTGTTGGACCACATTCAAAGAGCTGTCCTAGGCCGCATGTAGCCCGCAGGCCATGGTTTGGACAAGCTTGCCAGATCTAAGGTCAGGTTCACTTCTTTCGAACATGTCTGAGTTCCTTGACTCAACAATTTTACTTCTATAGGTACTCATCCTTTCTGTACTCCCAGTATGGAAACCTTCTCTGTTTGTGGGAATTACATGGTTGCCTCTGTACTCCACCAGACCATATGTTTCATGACAGCAGGCATCTAACTTGGTGTTCGTTACCATCTTTCAAATTTTATATAGAGCTCAGTAAATATTCATCAAATGAATGGATTAATAAATAAATGATAAAGCTCAATCAGTAGCTGAGTTTTTACCTACCAAATGCTTATCTAGGGTGCCTCACATTTGCTTTCTAACAGTCTGTTTACTTTTCTGCAGCTATGTAGTTTAAGTACTAAAATGCTACATTACCGATCCCTGCTGCTTAATCTAGTAGTAAATATTTGCTGAATGCATGTAAGGCCAAGAACCCACTCCCAACTAATCCTTTCTTGCTTCCCTTATTTTGTGCTTTTCTAGCCTTTCTATCAGCTTTGCAGTTCCAACCTGTAGTGTACTCTTTCTCTCACCACCCTTTAGCAGACTTAAAAAAAAAAAAAAGAGTTAAACAATGTTAAATCATCAAATAAAGTGGTTAAATAAAGATGATACAGAAACCAAACACTTTTCATTCAAACAAAGAACTTGATATGGTTGTGGTGTTAATAAATATATTTTAAATATAATCCATTGCTCCGATTTTAAAACCTCCTCCGATTAGGCACTGAGTACTTAGATATAATATCCAAAACATGATCTATTGAAGAAAACAGTCCATCCATTGGAGTTAATTAAAAGTAAAATGTTCTGTACTTCAAAAGAAGTCATTAAGAAAATGAACAGACAGGCCACCAGCTGGGAGAGAACGTCTGTGAATCATGCACAATTCTATTAATAGGATTTGTAGTAACTTATACCAATCCTAACAAAGGACTTGTATCCAGAATATATATAGACGTCTTATAACTCAATAAGAAGAATACACAAAACCTGATTTAAAAATTGGCAAAACAGCTGGGCGTGGTGACTCACACCTATAATCCCAGCGCTTTGGGAGGCCGAGTTGGGTGGATCACTTGAGGTCTGCAGTTCGAAACCAGCCTGGCCAACGTGGTGAAACTCCATCTCTACTAAAAATACAAAAAAGTAGCCTCACGTGGTGGCAGGCGCCTGTAATCCCAGCTGCTCGGGAGGCTGAGGCAGGAGAATTGCTTGAACCTGGGAGGAAGAGGTTGCCGTGAGCCGAGATCGCCACTGCACTCCTGCCTGGGTGGCAGAGCAAGACTCCGTCTCAAAAAAAAAAAAGGCAAATATTGGCAAAATACTTTACCAAAGAAGATACACAGATGGCTAGTAAAGTGCAATCAAGGATGTTACCCATTATCAGTCAGAAAAATACAAATTAAAACCGTAATAAGATACTACCTCACACACAATAAAATGGCTATAATTTTTAGACAGACATACCAAGTGTTGGTGAAGCTATAGGAAAACTGAAACCCACATGTATTACTGCTGGCAATATAAAATGGTGCCACCACTTTGGAAAATAGTTGGGAAGTTTCTTAAAAAGTTAAACATAAACTTACCATAGCCTAGCAATTGTACTCCTATATGTCTACCCAAGAGAAATAAAAGCTTATGTCCCTGCAAAGATTTACACATAAATGTTCACAAAAGCATTCTTCATAAGAGCCAAGAACTGGAAACTGTGCAAATGTTCATCAACTAAGGAACAGATAAAATGTGATCCAGTATTACAATGGCATATTATTCAGCAATAAAAGGAAACAAGCTACTGCCACATACTCCAACATGGATCAACCTGAAAAACTTTATGCCAAGTGGAAGGAGCCAAACACAGAAGGCTCCGTATTGTATAATTCTGTTCCATGAAATGCCCAAAACAGGCAAATTGATAGAGACATAACGTAGCTTAGGGGCTGTCTGGAGGTGAGAGTGAGAAATGACTGCAGCACGCATGGGGGACCTCATGGTCTGGTGGAAATGGTGCAAAGCTAGATTGTGCTGCTAGTCATGCAGCTCTATAAATTTAATAAAAATGAAAATAATCAGCCTCTAAAAAGTGCATTTTCTACCTGATGACTTCTAACTTTGCTATTCTGAAGAATAACCTTCAGTAGCTCCTAGTTCATTCACATAAGTGTGATTCCCTCAGTACACACACACACACATATATATACACACAGATATATACAGAGAGAAATTCCTTAAAGAATTGGCAGGCTGCTGGCAAAATTCCCTTTTGCTCAGGGAAGGTCAGTGTCTTTTTTTCTGTTGAGACCAGTCCCTTCTGGAAGGTAGTCTGATTTACCTAAAGTGCAGCATATTTTTAAAAAAATATGTTTTTGTATTTAATTTAATTTTAGAATCAGAGGGTACATGTGCATGTTTGTTATATAGGTATATTACTGTGTACACAGTTACATTGGTATTTGCCTATGTATATTGTTACGTAGGTATAATGGTGGGGATTTGGCTTCTAATCAACCCATTACCCAAATAGTGAACGTTGTACTTGACAGGTAATTTTTCAATACTCTCTCCCCTCCTGCTCTCTTTGCTTTGAAGTCCTTACTATCTATTATTTCCATCTTTATATCTCTGTGTATCCACTTTGCTTGGCCCCCACTTATAAATGAGAGTGCTTTTCTGTTTATAAGATTTAATTTTCTGTTAAATCATGAGGATAATGGCCTCCAGCTTTATCCATGTTGCTGCAAGACGGACATGATTTCATTCATTGTCATGGCTGCATAGTCTTCCATGGTGTATATGTACCATATTTTCTTTTTGTAGTTAACAGTTGACAGATACTTAAGCTGAGTCCATGACTTTGCTATTGTAAATAGTGCTGCGATGAACATGTGAGTGCAGTTGTTTTGTTGTTGTTGTTTTTTGGGTTTTTTTTTTTTTCAGACAGAGTCTTGCTCTGTTGCCCAGGTTGGAGTGTGGTGGCGTGATCTCAGCTCACTGCAAACTCACCTCCCAGGTTCAAGCAATTCTCCTGCCACAGCCTCCTGAGTAGCTGGGATTACAGGTAACCACCACCATGCCCAGCTAATTTTTGTAGTTTTACTACAAACGGGGTTTCAGCATGTTGGCCAAGCTAGTCTCAATGCCTGACCTGATAATGATGTCTTGGATGGGCTTGGTGGCTCACACCTGTAATCCCAGTACTGTGGGAGGCCAAGGCGGGTGAATCACCTGAGGTCAGGAGTTCGAAACCAGCCTGGCCAACATGGTGAAACCCAATCTCTACTAAAAATACAAAAATTAGCTGGGCATGGCGGTGGGCACCTGCAATCCCAGCTATTTGAGAGGCTGGGGCAGGAGAATCGCTTGAACCTGGGAGGTGGAGGTTGCAGTGAGCCGAGATCACACCATTGCACTCCAGCCTGGGTGACAAGAGCAAAACTCCTCTCAAAATAAATAAATAAATAAATAAATACATAAATACATAAATACATAAATAAATAAATAAAATTTAAAAAAAATATAATGATTTCTTTTCCTTTGGGTAGGTACCCAGTAGTGGGATTGCCGGGCTGAATGGTAACTCTATTTTTAGGTTTTGGAGAAATATTCATGCTGTTTCCCATCGGAATTGAACTAATTTATGTTCCTACTAACAGTGTATAAGCCGCATCCTCACCCACATCTTTTATTTTTTGACTTTTTAATAATAACCATTCTGACTGATGTGCGATGGTATCTCATTGTGGTTTTAGTTTGCATTTTTCTGATGCTTAGTCATTCAGAGCATTTTTTAACATGTTTATTGGCTGCTGGTATTTCTTCTTTTGAGAAATGTCTGTTTATGTCCTTTGTCTTGTTTTTTTTGTTTTTGTTTTTTGTTTGTTTTTGAAACAAGAGTCTCACTCTGTAGCCCAGGCTGGAGTGCAGTGGTGTGATCATAGCTCATTGCAGCCTTGATTTCCCAGACTCAGGCAAAATTTCTGCCTCAGCCTTTAGAGTAGCTAGGGCCACAGATGTGTGCCACCATGCCTGGTTAAAATTTGAATTATGTGTCAAGACGGAGTCTCTCTATGTTACCCAGACTGACCTTGAACTCCTGGGCTCAAGCAATCCTCCTGCCTTGGCCTCCCAAAGTACTGGAATTACAGACGTGAACTACCATGCCTGACCCTTTGGCCAGTTTTTAATACAGTTGTTTGTTTTTTCTTGTTGAGTTGTTTAAGTTCTGTGTGGATTCTGGATGTTAGTCCTTTGTTGGGAGCATAATTTGCAGATATTTTCTCCTATTCTGTAGGTTGTCTATTTACTCTGTATATTATTTTGGTGTGCAGATGCTTTTTAGTTTAATTAAGTCCCATTTGTCTATTTTTGTTTTTGATGCATTTGCTTTTGGGATCTTCATTATAAACTCTGTCTAGGCCAATGTCCAGAAGAATTTTTTCTGGGTTTTCTTCTAGGTCTTACATTTACATCTTTAATCCATCTTGAGTTAATTTTTGTACATGGTGAGAGAGGTGCAATTTCATTCTTCTACATATGACTAGCCATTTTTTTCAGCACCATTTATTGAAGAGGTTGTCCTTTTTCCAGTGTGTATTTTTGTTAACTGTGTCAAAGATCAGTTGGTTGTAGGTATATGGCTTTATTTTTGGGTTATGTATTCCTTTCCACTGATCTATGTGTCTAATTTTGTACCATTACCATGCTGTGATAGTTACTATATCCTTATATATTAGTCAGGCAATGTGATGCCTCTGGATTTGTTCTTTTTGCTTAGGATTGCTTTGGCTATTCAGGCTCTTTTTTGGCTCCGTGTGAACTTAAAGTGTACCAGCTTAAATGTTGATCTCATCCAAAAAAGCCTTCACAGAAACATCTGGAATAATGTTTGACTAACTATTTTGGCACGATGCCCCAGCCAAGTTGATACATAAAATTAGCCATCACACATAATGATAAATATTTATGAAGCATATAGTGCACCTCAAACTTACCCCAGTATTCTTTTTACCCTTAACCTATAGTACACGGTCAGATCTTAGTACTCTAGTCAACTTTTCTCTGCCCGCCCCCACACACAGGCCCACGATCTCCTGCTTCTGTAGGTTGTCTGTCTTGTTCACCTACCTGAAGTATTTGCCTCCTCATCTCTTTATCCGTTATTCCCACATATCATCATCATGGAAATTTTTAATGATCTTTCTTGGAATATCTTAAAGATACTTCTGAAAATGTAACTTTTTAAAACTTGGAATCCTACTTGGTTTTATTATAATTCTTCACTCATCATCTTTTCTCCTATCAGACTGTAAACAGTGTCAAGACAAACACGTAGAGTAGTACCCCTGAAAATATCAAATGGAAAACTTAGGAAATAAGCCATGTCTAAGCTTTAGATTGCATGCCATTTTGAGCAGTGTGATGAAGTCTCACGCCCTGCTGCCTTGTCCTGCCCAGGATGCAGATCATCCCTTTGTCCCCCTGGCCCATGCTGTGTAGGCTGCCTACCTGTTAGTCACTTAGCAACAGTCTTGGTTATCAGATTGATTGTCATGACACTGTAAAGCTTTTGTTCAAGTAACCCTTATTTTACTTAATAATGACCCCAAAGCACAAAGTTAAAGATGCTGGCAATTTGAATATGTCAAAGAGAAGCCATAAAGTGCTTCTTTTAAGTGAAAAGATGAATATTCTCAATAATATTTATAATTAATAATAAGGGAAGAAAAATACTGTATACTGAAGTTGCTAAGATCTACGAAAACAACAATTCTTCTGTCTGTGAAATTGTGAGCAGTATATTGTTATAATCGTTCTATTTTCTATTAGCTACTGTTTTGAATCCCTTACTATGTCTAATTTATATGTTAAATTTTAGTATGTATCATAGTATGTATGGATAGGAAAAAGTATAGGGTTTGGTACTATCTGTGGTTTCAGGCATCCACTGGGGGTCCTGGAACATATCAGCCATGGATAAGGGAGGACTACTGTACTACAGGTCACCTTAGATATGGTGGTAACTTAGTAAATATTTATGAACTTATATATTTATGCACATATGTCTATATAATAGTTCACTGTCCATGTGAGTTGAATTCATACTTTTCTAGGTAGTTTGCATTGGGGAGGAGACTATGAGGCTGAATTAATTAGTTATGAGAAGATTATAGTATTGATGGCATAAAACACTGTCTCTCAGAAACCCTTAAGGATGATATTAACTAATTACATTTTCTATGGCTCAGGCCTACTTTTGATGTCAGTATACCATGTTACTTTGTCTCTCAGTCTGGACTCACATTAACTACATTCCTGGCATGTCACACTGAGGTATTAATTTGCAGTGATAATAACTGTCTTATAACCCAAAATATTCCGTTTTTACAGATCAGCTTTGGAAGGCACATTATAATCAGAAGATTTCTTAGTGGGCATGTGCTCAAAGGTTTAATTGCCTGAGTTTATGATAAATCCTAATATTATGATCAGTCTCAAGTTCCCTCAGAGCTGTGTTGGACATCCCTCTTTGATACTTTTATAGCCTTATGATTATCTCATTGCACTGAAGATACTATCATAATTGCCTTTTGTCTGTAGCACAGGGCCTGGCACTTGATAGCACTCAGTAGGTATTTATTGAATGAATAAATATAGGAATGGAGGGTGCTGGTAAAAACTTTCCTGTCCTCTGGATAGTGTTTGAATAAGTGTAATCTATATTTGTTCCTGTGAGTTTGTTTTTTATTCTATTGCTGATCAATCCCATTTCAACGTGCACATTCTTTATTTAGCTTATTTTATACCTTCAATCAGCTCTTCGTCTACCCACAGTTTTGCAGTTTAACATTAGAAAGATAATTTCATGGGGTTATTTTAATTTTTTCATATATAACAAAATTTAACTGATACTTGTGTGTATATAGATGGATAGATATCCATATGTATAAGCTTATATATATCTGTCTAAATGGTTAAGCTTATACATATAGATACCTGTCTATATGGAAATACATATATATAATGTACATATATGTATATATGCATAACCATCAACCTATCCACACATTCTTATAATATTATAGAGATAAGTATTATGGGTTGTAGATAATTCCCACATTCTTACTGGAACTGGCCAGACCTTAGAAATTCTGTAATCCCAAAATATTATGCCATTATTTCTTACTCTATTGAGGCAGGAGAAACCACTCAGTGCCATGGGTACTAAAGACAAATGGTCTCAAAATGTCTCTTGTATATACCCATTTCTATAAAAGGTAAAACAGTAATATCATACACACACACACACACACACACACACACACACACCACGTATATCTGCTTTAGTATGTACATAGACTCCACAGCAGGGTATCGAAGAATTGGTAACAATTGATGCCTTTAGAGGAAGGAAACAGAACTAGAAGAGGCTGGAGGAAGACTTACTTTTCAGTGTATTCCTTTTTGTGCTGTTTCAGTTTGCAGTGTCTTATCCCTTACTCAGAAATGAATAATTAGCAAATCAATAAATGTTCCTTCTGCCTTAAAAACAAGACTTCTGCTGCGCTTTCAAGCTTGCATCTCATTGCTACTGCTGTCGTGTTGGGTTATTCTGGACATAGAGAAGAAATGATCACACTTATCTCTGGTTTTGTTTTCCAGGACTTTGTTGGCATTAGGATGTCATGTGGGTATATCAGATGAACATGCTGAAGACAAGGTGAAAAAAATGAAGCTACCCAAGAAGTAAGTTGAATGACTAGGCAATATTAAATAATCTATGTAGAGATTTAGTGCAACCAAATAACTCTTGATGGACACACAGATGCCTTGCTTTTACTGAAGCTTTAAACTTCAGATTCAAGGCTGGGTCCCGTGGTTCACACCTTAATCCCGGCACTTTGGGAGGCCAAAGCAGACGAATCACCTGAGGTCAGGAGTTCAAGACCAGCCTGGCCAACATGGTAAAACCCTGTCTCCATTAAAAATACAAAAATTAGCTGGGCGTGGTAGCACTTGCCTGTAATCCCAGCTACTCAGGAGGCTGAGGCAGGAGAATGGCTTGAACTTGGGAGGCAGAGGCTGCAGTGAGTTGAGATCATGCCACTGCACTCCAGCCTGGGTAACAAAGTGAGACTTCATCTCAGAAAAAAAAAATCGGATTCAAAATTTAAACTAACTGAATTACCTTAGGGGTTACATTAAGTATCTAGTGAAGCAATAGTTTCTATCACATTGCTGAGTGATGAAACAAAGCTCAGATTATATTTGGGAGTGTGTTATAAAAACTGTGTTATTTTCCCAGTGTGTATTTATATGTTAACAGAGGTATCGATATTTCTAAATGATTACATATAGCTTTCTACTTTCTGCCCAGAAATCTTTATAATTTTATTTACTTTTACAATACAAATATATTCAAGGATTAATTATGAAGTCAGAATTATTATCCACATTTTAAGATGAGAAAATTGAGGTAGATAGATGCTGTAGTACTGGTTTGGCCTGCTGTTCTATGACCTGTATCTATGATCCTGGTTAAGACCTCACCTTTCTCATCTGCCAATGGGCATTAGTAATACCTACTTAACAGGGAAGTTTTAGGTATTAAAGAAATATTCAATAAATGATAGCTGTTTCATATTACTTTCTTATTTATTTACACTTAAGTATTGAAGCTACTTTTCTGATGTGCAGGACTTGTAAATAGCAAGCCTGTAGATGTATTAAATAATAACATCAAGATATAATCAAAGTAGCCACCCGTAATCTCTATCAGTCACCTCAGGTCTCATGTTACCCTAGAAAAACATAAAATCCAAGTAGAAATTGTGTTTTTGCCGTGCAAATGCAGATTTAAGCAAGTCTTCTAGTTCAACAGTCTACGAACATTTTTACTCAGGTGCTCCATAAATGAGTTTATAAAAACTGTATTGTTACCTTGCGCATTTTTAGGTTCTAAAATTTTTCTTTGAAAATTTAAACAGTTCCAAAAGATGTGATTTTATGGTACATTTTGCATATTTACATTTAAAAATGACACTTTTTCATCAACTTTGAGTGTATCTTATGAGCGCAGACCACAGTGTTCAGATATCTGCCATCATCTGTTTAAAAATGACATAAAAATGTTGATAATGGAGAATTTTACATGATTTCATTTTCCTTTTTGAACTGTATTTTCAAATTATTTCTCCTACTGTATAGCATGCTAATCAATATTTTATCCTTGACAGTCTTTGAGTACTCTGTCCTACATTATAACTAAGATATGTATCTATATTGAATTTTTAATTGTTTTAATTTTCTGTGATCATAGTCATTAAGTTAAATTTTTCTCCTGAGTTATCATTATATTATTTTAGTACACAGGTGCTCAAAACAACATAAATTATTTTCAATAAAAATTCATAAAAAATAGGATTTTATTGGAAATAGCTCATAGTAAGATGGATTTAGCTATTTATCCAATTATATTATGTATTCACGTAGAAATAATATTTATTGATAGAGTCAAGTTGGCAGAGTGGTTGCAGTCTTCGTTCATATAAATAATTTTTGTTATTAAAAAGATCATTGGGTTAAGTGAACCAAAAACCATAATTGTTTATTATGAAAAATCATATGTAATGATTTTTTCAGGGTGACAGCTGAATTATGCCCTTGTTCAGTTTCTTGAAAGCCAAAAATTAGAATCTACCTAACTTGAAAAAGAGTTCATTATCCTCTCATTTTCATTATCCTCATGCTTTCCAAACCACTCTCAAGTTTTTTGGAAAGTATCCAAAAAAGACATTATTAAGGCTGAAACAGAACAAAACCAAAAACCAAAAACAACAACCTGGTAATTATACCTATTACTCTTTTACTTAGAAGGATAAGAAAGTAGAAATGTTAATTTCACATTATCTCTGACAGCATATTACATTTAATCAATTGTTTGTATCAAATGCTATGTGCGAGTGTGTGTGCATGTGTGTGTATGCATTTGGGGTACAATGCAACTTATTTCATGCATAGAATCTAACTGTTATAAAATCTGATTGATAAAAGCAGTTTTCACTGTCAAAACAATCAGCTAAAACAGAGTTATCTTTTGTCAAAACCATCTGGTTGTCTTTTTCTGTTGAAACAAATGGGTTCATGCATGTCCCCATGACAATCGTCTCAATTCTAATTTCTAACTTTAAGATAGGTAGATGATAGATTGACAGCTAGATGATAGAAAGATAGATAGATGGATGGGGAACAGGGTTTAAAAATAAGTCTGTCTCATTGAGGAACTAATGTCCTCTGCCTTGAGTATTTATTAATGCATATTCCTTGTGTTACTTTCACAATGCAACACAGCAATTATTTGAGAGTCGGCGAAGGTATGGAAAAGCTGAGACCCTTAAGCGAAAGCTGTACTTGGACATGCTGAGAGTCTATGTACTATTTCTCAGTTTGCCGTGAGATAGCATTTTATTCTTTCTCTATTAACAAAAACCTTCTTAATAACAGGTGTACATATATATGCAGATCAGCGCAAGCCTAAAATGTTGGGGTTTTTAAACAACCATTTTGCAAGCAATTTGGCATCATTGTGTAAAATTAAACATTTGCACATCTTGCTACCCAGCAGTTCCACTCCTAGAGATATACCCTAGAGACAGTTTGCATCAATAAACAGGAAAACTATCATTCATAGCAACATTATTTGGAACAGCAAAAGGATAAGGGGGGAGTTATAGGAGGTGGAAGGAATATTCTTCAATAAGAAAATGAGTCACGTTGGCTATAATCTAATAATAAAATCAAGGAATTATAAATGACAACGTAGATGGACCTAAAAAATAATAAGGGTATAAAAAACATATTCTACTAGGTGATGCAATGTAACACCATCTTTGAGGCTCAAAAGCAAGTAGAACTGAAAAAGAAAAACTAAATACCTATTTTGGAGATACATACTTTGATAAGGACTGACTTTTTAAAATCAATGAAATTCTAATTCTAGACAGTAATTATCTTTGGTATATAATCGAGGCAGGGATGTAAGATGGGGAGGAGCACACAGATGTAATGTTGTTAGTAATGTTCTAACTGTTAACTTGGTGATAGATTAATGAAATTCATTTTATTATAATGCTTTGAAGCATATACTTTCATAGTTATTTTATAATGATTTTTAAAATTAAAATGTGATGACAGATATAAATTCAGATATAGCATTACTCATAACTAATGTAAATGGATTAAATTCTCCAAGTGCATAACAGAAATTGTCAGATTGGATTCAAAAAGGTAACTTACGGTATACAGCTATAGGAGGTATGTCAGGAACTTTAGCACATAGAAAAGTTGAAAATAATAAGAATGATACGCTAGGCAATACTGCTCAAAATGAAACTGATGTACTTTCCTTTTATCAGTTTCTGCATAAAACAAAATTGCCCTTAAAGCAACATTAATATTAAGAAAAGAAGGTCACTATATGGAGGATCGAGAAAACAAGCATCATGCTATAACTACTCATGTGTACACCAAGTAAAACAGCTTCAAAAATCAATGAGGAAAAATACTAGTAGATTTTCAAAAAGAAATAGACAAATATACAATCATAGTGATAGACCTAACACAACTCTCAGAAACTTATGTATGTAACATAAATATTAACAAACATTAATAAAAATATAAACACACACCAATTAAAAGCTTGACATATATAGAGTGCTGCATGCATGAAACATTCATAAAATTTAATATCCTTTAGGACATTAGACACTGATATCATAAAGATCACATCCACTGGATCACAAAGAATAACAGCAAAAATAACAAATCATGACACATTTAGACATTTAAAAATGTACTTCTAAATAGGTTATGGATCAAGCATATCATCTGGAAAATTATTTACTTATTTACCACTCTGCCTTTGTTTATTTCTAATTTAAAAAGATAACCCATATTTCTTGATCTTGCTAAATGAACCTATCCTTTTTTTATGCCTTTATACTCTTATAAATGGATTCAAAACCAAATTTTTAAAAAACTTTTTAATATTTTTGGTTTTGTTTATTGCTTAGGTTGACGGATACAAATTTCATATATTTATGGTATACCAGATGATATTTTGAAATATGTATATGCTGTGGAATGGCTAAATCAAGCCAATTAATGTATTCATTACCTCACATAATTCCTTTTCTTTTTTTTGGTGAGAACACTTGAAATCTACTCTCTTAGCAATGTTCAATATATAATACATCATTATGAACGATATTAACCATGCTGTACAATAGATCTCTTGAATTTATCCATCATAGAAATTTTAAAACACAATAATGGAAAAGGAAAGTATTTCATATTAAAACATATGAATTGCATATATTAAGTATTACTCGGAGAAAGTAAAAGAAAATAAATTATAATAAGAGCAATACTAATGAATTTGGTGGGGGTGGGGTGAAATATAAACACCAATGATACCAAGAGCCTGTTTCAAAAACCTGCTAATCAGGGGAAAAAGACTCTGAAAAGATTGACAAAGGGAAAAGAAAAACAAAATTGTTAGCAAACTTAGGAATATTCTGAAAAATGTAATAAATGTACATTAAAACTTTCTGAAGGTAAAAGTATGGACAGTTGTGTAGAATCATATCAAAACTGATCCAATAAGAAAGAAAATGTGAATAGAGCTATAACTCTTAAAGGAATTGAAGCAAACACACACACACACACATCCACACATCCCAAACAAC